GGGGGGGAGAGTGGACGTGGAGTGGTGGTGAAAAGCGGGTCTAGACTGGAGTGATATGACTTAGGTACTCTCTCCCCCTGGATCCAAGTTCAGGCTTATAAAATAAGGCGTAGGTATTTATATTCCCGCTCACGTTTGGCAACCACATTTATGCAGTGTATGTTCTCGCTCTTTTTAAATGCAAGGTGATGCCACCAAAACGGTAAATGTATGCTCTTCTTATACGTAAGGCTGATGAGAGATTCAATTTCTTGATTGGTTCAGTATTTAGATTCCTATCCCCTAGTTTGTCAAACTGTTTTAGGGGCTCCTTAGAGGGACCCCCACTTTCCTAAAATATAGGTACTGATTTTTCACCAATCACCCACTTCATTTCGGAAGAGTCAAGTTTTTGTGTAAAGATTGTAGACTGTTTAACACTATTCCTGGCGGGGGGGGGGCCTCAGGAGCCCCCCCCCCTGAGGTTTTTTGGTTATATCTCCCAAACGCTTTGAGCTAGGAAGCTCAAATTTTCTGACTTTTTCTTAAAGGCTTTTACGCAACAGTTCTGAAAATTTTGAGTTGATCTGACCTCAGGTCAGGTCACCAGAGGCGGTTTGGTGACCCTACCTCAGAAAAGTTTGCAATCACGCCAGAGCTAGAGTTTTTGACCGATCAATTTCTTCTCTTCAGGCTTTAGTTAGGGTACCAGTATGTGCAATTTTTATGTCTCAGAATTTTCATATCTGTGACCTGAGGTCAGGCCAGACTCGTGACCTTTACATTGCAAGCCTATGGGAAAATATTGAAACGCCTCCTGCTTCGTGTAAACGAGTCAAAAACACCCAGTTCTTTCAGTATTACGGAAGATTATCTCATCGGTGATGATCCTGGTGCCGCTAATTGACAGGGGCACCGGCAAACGTCATCTGAGGTCATGTGACGTCATAAATTGTTTTTCTGTCAATAAATCACGACATGATGGTGCTAAAGACTTGTAAGTGGTACCAAACTGCTCGCCTGGTCAAGGCGCGTCGTTTGGTATGCAGCATGACCATACCCCACAACCTCATTGATGAATGACCTGACCTTGACCTCAGGTCAAATTTTAAATTGACCTGTGAAGGTCATCACATACTTATTTCGCATCGCCTCGGCGAGAACAACAAAAAATGTATTGGTTTTATGTCTCTTTGTTTCTTAGTTTAACCCTATTCCTGGCGGGCTCCGCCGGGACAAGAAACTGGCGGGGGGGGGGCCGATTCGGCCCCCCCCCCCTGAGATCTCGAGAACGAAGCAAGATAGCGACAAGCGGTAAACGGCATCGGATACGCACGGCCAAGATCTACAATTTTTACAAAGGTCATTTTCAGGTCAGGTCAAAGATGACGTCACAGGGGTCGAAAAAGTCAAAATGGCGGCACTAGATATGGAGAGAGTTTTTCTCGAATAACTTTCGAATTAGTCAAGATAGGAACAAACTAAGGGCATCATCGTGATCCTCTCGTCAATCCGCATCGAATGATATATATGTTGACCTCGAAAGGTCAAGGTCAAAGGTTGACCTCAGGTCACGTGACCTCGAGGTCATCATGTATATCATTCGATGCGTCTTGACGAGCTGAACACAATGAGACCATCCACGCGTCTGTATCTTGTTCCTGTACGGAGTTATTGGCCAAAAACCTTTGGTGACCTTTGATGACGTCACATGACCTCACAGCTGCCCAACAGCAAAACAGACCTCAAGGTAGTGAAGGTTGATCGTATATGAAGTCATGTATGGTATATAGGGCCATTCCGACCCGTTTTAGTGGTAAAAACAGGGAGTTGATTTTTCCCCCATTGACTTATAATGGGGAGGTCGCGAAATTGACCTGACCTTAGGTCACCGATATCAAAATTCCGAGATATACAAATTGCACATACTGGTACCCTAACTAAACCCTGAAGAGAAGAAATTGATCGGTCAAAAACTCTAGCTCTGGCGTGATTGCAAACTTTTCTGAGGTAGCGTCACCAAACCGCCTCTGGTGACCTGACCTGAGGTCAGATCAACTCAAAATTTTCAGACATGTTGCGTAGAAGCCTTTTAGGAAAAGTCAGAAAATTTGAGCTTCCTAGCTCAACGCGTTTGGGAGATATAACCAAAAAACCTCAGGGGGGGCTCCTGAGGCCCCCCCCCGCCAGGAATAGGGTTAAAAGTTATATAGGTAACTAATTCTAAAACATTTTATCGTTGATGACCTCTGGTGACCTCAATATTGACCTTACCTGAAAATGTTTTATGTAAAAGTTGTAGATCTTTAAACGACCTATCAAACGCCGTTCGCCGTTTGTCGCTGCGATGTGTAGTTTTTGAGATCTGAAGGGGGGGGGGCCGAATCGCCCCCCCCCCCGCCAGTTTCTTGTCCCGGCGGAGCCCGCCAGGAATAGGGTTAATGGCTCCCTTTTGGCTGTCTCAGGGACCACCTCGACTACTTCTAGGGCCACGATAGCGGTATCGACAAAGTAGGCGATCGTGATCGGTAAGGGACCGTCACAGAACAATTTCTGTTGTAGTATAATAGTATTTCGCAAAACCCCCGCATTCTGCATATCATTGAAAGCATAATTTTATTTCTGAAGTTGTAGGTCGTGTAGCCACACGAATACTCCTAAAATGCACGAACAATTACAGGCACGTACAGCCCTCTGCTCATTGCGTGGTAGGTTCTAGTTGCTTCAGCGAAACCGGCCAATATCTCAAAGGCTCTGCTACCGAGTGCGCGGAAGTCCTGACGGAGGGACGCGCAATACCACACGACTTTGTTTGAACCCCTTGTTAGGACCCACCTCTCCGTGTCGCTACAATACACAGAAGTCTGTATTTTCCGTCCTAAGACTAAGTTTTTTTTGCCCCCTCCTAGAACCGTCCCTGCCATGCCTTCAATGAGCTCAGCTGACAGCCGCTTACTACGGAATGGTAGTGCGAGTTGGGTGCGTAAACAGACATGAGTCGGTGACCAGCGCAGAGGCTAAACCGGTTGTTGTTGTTGTTCGTCCTCTCGGCGTCTAGCGACGCGAAGCCTCGCGGCTTAGCATCCCTCTGCGCGCGGCCGCCATGGCCGCGATGTAACTTGTGCTCCTTGCAGTCTCTCTGGTTGGGGCGTGTATGCTTCCCGTCAGGCGGAACCGAAGCCCCATCTGCGCTGGGCACCGCAACAGAATGTGATCTGGGGTGTCGGCTTCCTCCTTACAGAGTGGGCAGAGGGCTCCGCCGCATGCTCGTTCATTGCAGGCGTCGCACTGCCGTGTGGGGCTCTTGCCGATGCGATGCAGGTATTGTTGCGACCCTGACCAGTGTCCGGCTCTCAGCTGGTGGACGTCGATAGCCGTCAGACGGTCCAGGCCAGACACTGTGGGTGGGCGCGTTGTCCCCATCAGGGTTCGGAACCAGCCTGGGGGTCGCTGCTCTCGTGTGCGAGCGTCCGCCGCTCGCGCCGCTGCTCTATGCACTGTGCGCGTGTCCACCGGTACCTGCTCTTGGGGGAGAGATGCCGCCTCCTTGGCCAGGCTGTCGGCCATCTCATTCCCAGGCAGCCCGCAGTGGGACGGGACCCATTGTAGGAGCACCTGCCGCTCTCCATTGTCGGACACCAGGGCCAGAGCGTCCCAGACAGCTCGGTTCAGCTGCGTCCTTTGCTCGGCCGGGCCACTCCGTAGGGCAGATAGAGCTGCTTGCGAGTCGGTACACAGTATGATGGGGTCCTCCTCATGATCAGTGTGGTTGCCGATGTAGTTTAGTGTCTCGCGGAGTGCCACCATCTCCGCTCGGTAACTCGAGCAGAGCTTGCCCGCTGGTGCGCGGAGCTCGTGGCTCTCCCCGTCGGGCCACTCGATATAGCCGCCCGCTCCACCGTCCAGCACTCCTCCCGTGGCGGATCCGTCCGTCCAGGCCCAGGTCGCGCACTGGGGGAGGGACGCCAGGTGCAGGGCAGCCGCCTGTCGGCGGGTCTCCGCGGACGCTCCGGAGGGGGGTGTGGCTCCTATCCCCAGGTCAAAGACCACCGGGGGGGGCCTCCTCCCACGGGGCGACGCTGGGCGGCAGCACCGGCTCGATCGGGGCCACGACACCTGCCATGTGCCAGGCCTCCAGACCCACCGTGCGCCAGCCCGTCACCGCCTTCAACCGTGGGTTGACGGTCGCGTCCGCTACTCGGCGTAGTGGGTCCTCTTCTGGGAGGGCTCTTGCCTTCGCGAGGAATCGCGCCGCCAGGGTGGTTTTCCGGGCCGTCACCGGAGCCAGTCCTGCCTCCGCCATCAGGGCTTCGGTGGGGGTTGAGCGCGTGCAGCCCGTTATGACGCGGGCGGCCTCCCTCATCTCCCTCTCCAGTACCTCTACGTGGGAGGGGGACGCGGCCGGTAGCCACGCTGCGGCGGCGTGCTCCAGCGCGCCTCTGACGTAGCCGTTGGCCACGATGCGGAGTTGCCGCTCTTCCAGCCCCCAGTCCCTGCCCGTCAGTCTCCTGAGGTGTTGCAGTCTCGGTCGGGTTCTCTGTCGCATCCTCTTGCAGTGCGGGCCGAAGTGGAGGAGGCGATCCAGCGTTACTCCGAGCAGGTTGAGAGTCTCGCGGGCCTCAACTCTCGCTCCAGCCACCCTGATGGACAGGTCCACTGCGTCCTTCGGCCACTGCGAGAGCACCAGGACCTGGGTTTTCTCTCCCGAGACGACCATCTTCGATGTCCTGGCCCATCTTGTCAGCGTGTCAGCGGCTTGCTGGGCTCGGTGTCTGGCCGTCTCGATGCTCGCACCCGCGCACAGGGTTGCAGTGTCGTCGGCGTACATATAGGGTGTGCATCCTTGGATCGCCTTGAGGGAGTGTGCGAGGGGTGCCGCCCACAACAGAAACAAGAGCGGGGACAGGACGCTACCTTGCGGTAGGCCCGCCCGAAACACCCGTTCGCCACTCTTCACTCCGTTCACCTCGACGGCGACCCGTCGGTCTCGGAGCCACTGCCACGTCCACTGCACCATGCAGCGCGGGAGTCCCAGCTCTAGCAGTCTCAGACGTAGGAGGCGATGGTCCACCACGTCATAGGCGCGCGCGAAGTCATACGCGACCAGCACGTACTTCTGGGCGGTGGTGCCTTCTGGTGGGTCTGCACGTCTGGACTTGGGCCGATTCCATCCGTCTTGCACTTGCTGGACGAGTCTGCCGATGCTGTCCTCGACCGATCGGCCAGCCCTGAAGCCGACCTGCTCCGGTGGGACCAGTCCGCGGGACTCGGCCAGGAAGGTGAGTTTAGCCCGCCGGTTTAGGCAGACCGGTTTAGCCCGCCGACCGGCTAAACCGGTCGGCGGGCCAGTCGGCCGGTTCCGTGGGGCAGGGAGGTGGACGCGGGCCGGGGTCACTCGGGTCAATAGCCCGAAGCTATGTCTCGGCCAGAAGCCGATCCAGACAGTCTGGCGCGACCCGACCAGGCCGTTCTAAAGCACAGGGACTATGAATGAATTAGCCATTTCAGTCGGGGAAACTGTGGTCAAATCTTCCATTTTTAGAAAGCCTTCCATTTTTGGAAGGATTTTCTATATATGGGTACGCACCTTCCAAAAATGGGTACGCTGACGACGTCATCGTACCCAAATATAGAAAATGTTGCGCATATGTTGGAACTTACCGATTTCCGCCGAACATGAGGCAAATGCGACTATCGCCCCTGGTCGCTTTCTATTCGCCATAGTGAAGTGTCCATAATCTAGCGTGGATGCCTAAATCCTAGCGTGGATGTATTTTAGGTAATTTTTCAAAGTAATGAGTCGTGGAAAATTGACAAAAATTTACCGACAAACGATGGTTTTATAAGACTTTATCAAACATTTTGTAAGCAAAAAGCATCAAAAACGAAAAGTAAATATCCTTAAAAGTACTTTAGTGACGGGCCATGCTTGTTCGATACCGCCGACTTTATTTACAGTGCGGAATTGTCTGGACAGAGTGCGGCGGTTTCGGGAGTGTAGTGGCGAGTAAAACTTGTATTTGTTGCCGTTTTCTGCATTTATTAGCATATTGTGTGGTTGATTTCAATTTTTTAAGGCTTTTGCCAAACATTTGGGTGGAGGTCTCGTCATTTTTCAATGTTTTTTTCCGGAATATGGGACGAATTAAATAGGCGTTGCTGCGCCGTTTTTCGTGTTACTTTCTATCGAAGGAGCATGAATCTTCAATTTATATGAGGAATAGTAAGTTTAATTTAAACCATTTTTTGTCAGGGCTATAGCTGTGTTCCTCCTGGTTGGTTATTGACCAGCTGTTTTCTCTTCTGAATTTCTATGTGTCCTCTAGAAGTAGAAAAAGAGAGCAGTGCGCCAGGACACCATGCTATTATATCACTATGTACATTGACATAGCATGCCTGTATTACCAACACTAGCACTGCTGCTTCTCCTTATATCAATGATCATAAATGGCAAAATCAACTATTAATGTTACACATTTAAAAAGGCCGTAACTTAAATCAAAGAATGTGAATCACAGTTGGGAACACTGAGATTAGACCTTCCAATTTTGGAAGCCTTCCATTTTTGGAAAATGCATACCCATTTATGGAAGGTCCTTCCAAAAATGGAAGGCTTCCAAAAATAGAAGATTTGACCACAGTTTCCCCCACTGATTTTCAGGATTGTTAAAGGTAGGTGTCAAGGTTGGTGTCAAGGTCACGTGAAACTCAGGTTAGGTCATTGAACTTCGGTGACCTTGATTCACTTTTCGAGTTTTACACGTGTCTAGGACAGTTTTTGGAACTCATTTAGAATTTAGCATCCATTTGAACATTTAAGAAGCAGTTTTGGTGCCTTTGTAACATGTTGCGGAGCTGTGAGTGGCAGTTGACACCTACTATGACACCCGGCAAGAACCTACTGGTTGACCTGACCTGACCTGACCCGACCTGGCCTAAATGCGTGAAGATTTGATCAAACCTAACATGATATTTGTGATTAGCACCCCGAAAAAAACTAGCAGCCACACTTTACGACGTTCTAGCTTACAGTTTCCATTGTTCCGATTTTTGGGGTCATTGACCTGACCTGGAAGGTCAACTTATGATCTAGGACCTTAACCCTCGCCGGCACAGGGGGGGGGGGGGTTGATGCAACCCCCCCAAGGTTTTTCGCGAATAACTCGCGTAAAAAGCGGCCCATCGCGACGAAACTTTCAGTACCCTCGCATTGATCAATTTTACACCTACCCTGAAAATTTCATGACCCTGACTGACCCCAATGACCTTTGACCTGTGACTCTTTTCTGTGACCATGTTTGGCCGAAATCGCGGTTCGGCGCTTGTCGGCTCGCATTAGACGCGCGTTTGCAAGCTTTTCGTGGTTTCAAATGTTCAAACATGTGATTTGATGTTGCTCCCATGCATTAGGGTGGGTGTCAAGGTCACCTGAAGGTCAGGTCAGGTCATTGACCTTTGGTGACCTCGGGTGACCTCGGTTCACTTTTTCGAGTTTTACATGTTTCTTGGCTAGTTTTTGGAGCTGAATTCGAATTTAGTAACCATTTGAACATTTAAGAAGTAGTTTTGGTGCCTTCGTAACATGTTACGAAGCTGTCCGAGGCGGTTGACACGTATTACGAATACCCGTCACAACCCCTACCGGTTGACCTGACCTGACCTGACCCGACCTGGTCTAAATGCTTAAAGACATCATCTCTCATCAAAACTAACACTATATTCGTGATCAGCACCCCGAAAAACCACATAGCAGCCACACTTTACGACTTTCTAACAGGTCCCGATTTTCCCGGTTTTCGGGTCATTGACCTGACCTGGAAGGTCACCCGATGACCTAGGACCTTAAAATTGGGTATCATCGGCTTCGTCTCGTGACGGGCAACACGCTCGTTTTTTTCCGCGAAGCTCTAGCTCGATCAGGGGCCAAACGCGAGGGGGGGTCGTACCACCCCCCCTTGTGCCGTCGAAGGACTCAAAATGGCCTGTGCCGGCGAGGGTTAAAAATAGACATTTTTTGTTTCCTCTCGTCACCAACAACACGCTCGTTTTGTCCGCGAAGCTCTAAGTCCATCAGAGGCCAAACGGCAAGGGGTATCCAACGACCCCCCCTCCCCTATACGTTCGTGGCTGGCTATACAACAATACGGGCGAGGGTTAACTCAGTCTATGGGCCACGTAGCAACACACGGTAAGCGACATTTGAAACAACGTTCAAAATCAAGACGAAAATAATTCGATCAGTTTATAGGTCAGGTTAACGGTTAGGTCACCAGATGTCAACAAAGGTAATGTGGTGCATATTTAAACATTTTCTGAAACACCGGCGTATAACTTAAATGAACCAATATTGATGCAGTGCCGTAGAAAAGCGCGTTCGATAGACTTTTAAACACTTTTGACTCAAGCAAGGAACGAACAAGTTCAAGGTCATGACCTGTCCGGAAGAGGTCATGTTGCGCATCAGTCAATGCGCATCGTCGACCCAAGCACATCGAAGATGTTTTCATCGCTCTAATCAAAGGCAAAATCCGCCGGGGAACTTTCATGACCTGCGATGGCCTCGGGGACATAAGTAAGGTTCCCATGTGCTATTGTCTTATTCAGTGTGTCAAGTTTACTGGTGTCATGATATTTGAGTGTTTAGAATACCGTTTGTCTTGTAGGTAATACGTATTTCAATTTTCTCCAACTGAACAAAAATAGAGAGGTCGCAGATTGTCCTAAACTTAGCTCAGCGATATCAAAATTACGAAATTAAAATTTAATGCACATCGCTCTTATCAATCGCTCAAAGTTTCAAGGCGATCGTTCAGTCAATGTGGCTATGACGAGCATTTTAATTTTTTTCTGAGGCGAGGTCACTTTACGTGACCTACCTGGTGACCTAACCTTGAGAGGCATGGGCTTGAAACTTTCACAGTATGTGCGGGAAACTTGCATTAATAGGTGTGGCGAAGACGGTTTTGCTCTGCGCTGCCGTTTTTTTTTTACTCAATATCTGCGAAAAACGCAGGATACGTCCAACCCCCCAACCCCCTTTCCCCAGCGCTGGTAAGATATGTAATAATATATATCCTTTTGAAAGACCTTTACTATAGGTCTTTCGAAAGCTCTATACTTAAGGAAAAGAATTTGAGCACCCTTAACTTTTCACATGGCACGTGCCACGACAGACGCCTTTAGATTTATAAATATACAGGGCTGCGGAGTCGGAGTGGGAGTCGAAGCCGAAGTCGGAATCGGTTGGAGTCGACAGCTGTGACCGGAGTCGCAGTCGGAGTCGTAGTCGATTTTGGAAACCGAGACCGGAGTCGGAGTCACCGAAAATCTGCCGCCTCCTCGGCCCTGCCAGGTGTGCGGAGCCGGAGTCGGAGTCAGTCCTAAAAAATTCATCGACTCCGCAGCCCTGTGAATAGAAGTTAATTACGGCGTAGAAGGGATATTAGGCTGCCCAGCAAAAAAAGAAAGAAAAAAAAACAGACCGCAGGTCAATCAGCCCTGTGCAGTGGTTACTTTTATATAAACCTCTCAAAATCGTTACAGGTCGGGCCGCTCATACTAAGATTTTTTTTTCCGTTTTAGTGAAAATACTTTGCTTCGCCCGTTAGCTCATCGAGTTCATCTCGAAACCGGCGTCGGCAGCAAATTGTACCCTGATGACGCCACATGACCATTCACAATGCTTAGTGGTGGGAAGTGGGTAGTGATACGGCAGTG